CATTTTGAATTTTTTCCAAAAGAGAACCACTAGTTATGTCACTGATCTATAAGAGAATTCCTTTCTTATTGTCCCAATCTGATACTCTGCTATAGTTGATGTGGTCTTTTTATATTATCCCCACATTTGACCCAATATTTTTATGTTATGTCAGGTGTGCTTGAAATCCTCTTGGACATTTAGCCTCTTTTCTATCCTTCCACTTTGATTTATTCCCCATATTCCACAGTGGGGTGACTCGCCTTCAGTAATTGGAATGGCAGCCCTAATAGTAAACTTGATAAAGCCTTATATAAATGCACTACAAGATAGTGACTCCTCTGCAGGCTTTTCATCTAGAAAGAGATGTTTTGTGTTTACTAATATCTGAAATGACCAAAGCAAGTAATTAATGGTGTGACTGGTAAAAATGGTGCCTGTTCAATTTTTAGAATATTCCCAGAACCTCTGAATATATATCCAGGAAAATTCAACTTCTATAACTTTGCAGGCCTCCAAGGTTGCTTGAAGGAGACCATAGGAAATAAAGAACAAGGAGATGTCTCTGTATGACAGACAGAAACTATGTAATAGGTTAACCAAGGAATTTCCTGTACTAACTCATGCAAGAATTCTATTTCTGCTCAGCAGGATTTGTTTTGGATTAGTAATAATTGATTTCTGCTTTTTTCCCATTCCCTCAGTTCCTAAGTCATAATCTTCCTTTACTTTCATGAATACTGCTATTTTTACACTGTTTTATCTTGTGATAATTCAGACAAATAAGTTGTCTTTAAACTATGGGTTTCCAAACTATGAGAAACAGTCATATCTGGGCCTACTGGAGTTGACAATACGTCAGCTGTGATTATAGAATGGTATTGAGGCGGGCACCCTTGGGGAAGGTATATATGCATACAACCCCAAATATATGAATAATAAGGGGGAACTACTTCTAATTTTCCCTACTAGTGGCCAAAGAGCTTAAATATTCATTATCTCAGACTCCCTTGCAGCTAAGTGGGAAATCATATGATTCAGTATTGGCCACTGAGATGTGAACACAAGTTCCTGAGACATTATGAACAAGCTTTTAGAAGGGCAGAATCAGCTATCATGATCCTTCAGCCATTCCACTGTCCTTTTGTTCTCCCTAAAATGTGGATGCAGTAGTCAGAGTTTTAGAAACGAACATGTAAATATATGGAAAATATTACTCATAAAGAAAGACAGAGCTGTCTTGATCTCTGTTGGCAGCTTAAAACAATTGGTTTTGATGGCTAGCAAGGTTAAACTGCTCTTGCATATTTTCCCTTAGATCTTTACTTTAAATCATTGGTTTAAAAATCTTAAATTTTGTTATAACATTCAGTTTTAAGAATAAAGACCCTGTATATTCTTCAACAGGTCTTCCTCAATGGACAACACCAAAATGAGGAAATTAACACTGATAGAATCCTTTGCCTTTATTTGTATTTCAGCAGTTTTACATGAACTACTTAGTGGAATATATGTGCAGAGAGGGAGGGGTTATTTAATTTAATTTTATAGGATTTTAAAAAGTGTGTAGAGTTGGGTGACCAACATCACAGTAAAGATACAGAAAATTTTCAAGGAAATGTAGACTTCTATAACCACACCTATTTTCCCTGATAGTCAGCCACTAGTTCCTGATAACCATTTCTATGTTCTCCATTTCTATAGTTTTGGCATCTTCAGAATGTTATACAAATTAAATCAAGCCATAAACAACATATTTTTTTTTCTTTTATTCACTCATTCTGGAGATCCATCTGGGTTGTTGTTATATTTACGGAGGCATTTTTTTGAACAATGTTTTTTTTTCCCTAAAAACCTTGAGGTTGGCCAGAAGAATAATAGACAATATCCCTCATCATAATCTATAGCAATCTTGGGAGATAGACTTATTGTTAAAAATTCAGAACAATAAGAAATTTTATCCAACCTTGAGTCTCTGCTACCTAGCACAATTCTGTAACTTAGTAGTCAATAAAAATGTTTGTTAATTGATACTAGTTATATTTCTTTAGAAAATTTTGTGATAACAAAACATAGAGCATAGGTCATTAGAATTTATAGAAGTTTCATTAACAAATTTGAATTTAATGTATAACATTTATTGAACAATTATCAGTTATTGAGTTCTTATAACCTAAGTACTATGCTAAAGTCTTTGTGTATTTTTAAATTAATTCTCACAGGAGTTTTATAACCTATTATTGATTGTTTGAAGATATTTAAATAGTTTAGCCAAAATCACACAGCCAGGTTGTACCAGAGATGGGATCCAAGGCTAAGTTTATCTCCCTCTAAACCTACGCTCTTAAATACTGTGTGTGACTAAAATATTCTAAATATATTGTCCTTAAAGAGCCATATGGATCCCTAAAAGCCTTGTTTGGCATAAAAGAAAGTATACAGAAACTTTTACTCTGTGATAATGGCTATACATTATTAACCAATTACTACTTGCTGTATGACTTACTATTTAATTCCTCTTTATAAATTAGTTGATTTTTTTCATGTAAACAATGGAATAAGTTAGCTACATAAAAAGGATTCACTTGGAGAGCTCTATACAGCTCCAGGGTGCTATGGGAATCTAGATTACTTGTAGTATTTTGCTTTCAAGTCCTGGAGTCATTACAATGTGGCACCACAACCTGCATAGTAGGATATTGACAAGAATACAGGAGGCGATTCAGTAGATACTTAAATGGCAAAAAATATAGTGCAAGCTGCACACACCCTGCAGACTACAAGTTTATATGATAATAAATAATAGTTATCACCAGGACAAAGGAAAAAATGCCATGAAATCCAATAGCTCAGTGAGAAATCTGCTAATACAGGTGGTCAAGCTTGTTCTATTTCATTGTCAAAGGGAGGCTATTTATTTGCTTCTGGGTAGTTAAATTACAGAGTCATTTACTGCTGAAAGCTTTCCAGTAGGCAGATGTGGATCTAAATCTCTGGCTCTAAATTCAAAGTGTGTGAGAAGGGGGATTCAGAATTTACTTCATTGACAGTGTAATTAATACTGTAGACATCATGAAATAATTCCAGAAATAAAAAGATTTCCTTTAAACATTCTAGTTGGAATCTCCCTACTATGTGTATTGGTCATGGGCTAAGATCAAAATGCCGACTATAATGCATTATCTTTTTAGAAACTCTTTAAAATACTTTTCATTTGGTAGCCTGCCATTTAGGTTAGATCGTTGATTGGGGAGAAAGAATGCATATGTGCATGCATGTGTAAGAGGAGTGAGAGAGACAAAGACTAAGAAGGATTCCTTGCATAGCAGAATGAACAGAAATGGAGGTAAAATATTCATAATGGCCCCTCAGTACTGATAAAATTACTGCCAACTTTCTTTGCCTGTTGTGCAGGATGGCAATTGAATATACATATTTTGAGAACATCTGAAACACTGGAGATTATACACACTGTTTTGATTATATCTAAACTACTGCAATCTAGTGATTTTCTGAGTTTGGCAGTTTACCTGCGGACTAGATCAAAGCCATTCCAATAACACTTTTTTTTCCTTAAGTATTTTTATAATCATTTTCTTCCCATAGGTGTTGTCTTTAATTCCAAATTCAAGATTTATATTTTGTGTGTTTAACGATTATATTTTATCATTTGTATCTTGGGCATAAGAAGTCACTACCTCAGCTGACATTGACTCTAAGCCAAGTAACCTTTAAACCAAGACATGTGTGTAATTTCCTTATTAATTACAAATATTAACTTCATCAATCTTAGTTCATGACCAAATACAAAGCTTCCAGGCACAATCCTGATGAGGAATAAATTACACAGCTGAAAAATTCAAATTCTAATTTATACTGCCTTGAAAACAATTAATGTGTCATAAAGGGCAATGAATGCCCCAAAGTAATCTATATGGAAAGTGACCCACAACAAAAGGTTAGCAATTATGGGTGGTATCTGCTTGCTAGAAGACACTGAGATGAAGAAAACTAAATATCTCACCTCTAGTTATCTAAGGTTGAGCTTGGACAATGTTGTCAGAGATTGCTAATAATCAGAACAAAAACCAAATGCCCAAAAATTTGATAACTTTGTTGTTATGCCATTTAGTTCTCACAGAAACAATTACAATAAGTATACATATGGATATGATATAAATTCATATATCAGAATTTCAAGATCTATGGTTGTTGTACCTAACTATTGAGAATCATAACACAAACAAATTAAGTAACAATAATCAGAAAAAATTATGTGTTTTCACATGAAAAAGATTAACCTTCTCTCCCCAAGTAATTGACATTGTTAAATATGTGCATGTAATTCCATGTCATTTTTAATTAAATATGTAGATTCTTATAACTTCCACTGCAATCAGAATAGAAAACTACTGCAATTGATTAATTTTTGAATATAAATATACATTAGATAACTTCAGACAGAAAGTTCCACATTATTTGCTATATATAACAATTAGTATTTAAAATTATCAATACCTGGGAAAATTTTTTTTGGTAAAATCTATTTCTAAAGGTCAGTGGGAAATTCTCACAATGTGGATAAGGTATACTTTGGTTAAACTGCACAGATCAGACAACCTCATCACTCAGTGACCAGCTCCTCCAACATGAGAGTGAGCAAGGATTAAGCACACACCTTATTGAAGACAATCTGCTAAGAACCATACTACTCCAAAACAGTTTACCAGTGAAAAGTCTAGATAAACACATGCATGCACATGTCAACTCCTTTCTCACGCAAACAGAACACTTCATAGAGCCATCATATCATGAATACGGTTACATAGCAAAAGAGCACACAAATAAATACACACAAAGAAACAATGAAATAAACTGGCCAGATTCTTTCAAGGCAAATTTACTGCTTCTTATTTCCCCTAAAATGCAAATTAAAATCCAAATGTTTGTAAATTCCAATTCTGATTCAATTCACAACAATGTAGGATCACAGAAGAAAAAAGTCTAAATACCATTCTTACCTTGGCCATCTGTGCCTGGACGCCATTTGCCTTGAGAGATGCTACTGCTTTCTGTGCAGCTGCAGGACTGTCAAAATCTACAAAACCATAACCTGTGAAAACACAGAGCCCCTTGTTAGTTCTCACGAATAACTGCATCTCTATCATACAGTGACTATTGGTGTCACACTTGCACTCATGATCCAGGTTGAAAACTATGGTTATGTCATGACTTTTATTGATGAGATATTGCTGAGGTTTTGAAAATTAACTTTAGGAATAGTTTTGTTGTTGTTGTTGTTATTTTCAACATTCTATGTTCCTCATTCTTGCAGCAAATCCATTATTGTGGCAAATGACTTAGTAAAGTAATTTTTCAATTGCTTTACTTTTTATCAAAGTAGCATTGGTTTAACACACTATATACATCAACTGAAGTAATGAGTTCTTATACCAAGAAATAAATGAAAAATAAGAACCTAAATCTATGATTCTTAACATGTGCAGAAAGATATTGCAATCTATTTAATCAAGAAATAGTAACTTATTTTTTAGAGATTTCTTTGCAGATAGAATATGCAATCAGTCACTTGATTTGGACTAATTTGGTGAGTAAGGTAGAGATTAACTTATACATCTGAAGAGGTATGTAAATAGTATTTTAACCCAATGCAACTTTGATAAAAAATAATGCAATTAAAAATTATTTACCATGTCCTATCTTCAGTGGATTTGCATCAAGAATGGGGACTACAGAATGTTGAAAATAATAAGAAAAATCTATTTCTAAAGTTAATTTTCAAAATCTCAGCAAAATCTCATCAATAAAAGTCATGACAGAACTTACCTAAAGTTACTATGAGTAACCTCAACAACACCTGGCATAATAATAGGCCTTCAACAAATAGATGGGAAATGAATGAATAAATAAGGATTGTGGATGAGAGTCAGGGTTTCAACATAGTTCTAGCTAATTTCTATACCCATGCTTATTACCTAAAGGACAGTCTCTCTCTCCAGGATAACATCTTAATAAACTAGACACTTAAGTGATCTGGGCTAAGAGAGATTGTAATGATATTCAAGCTTCTTTTTTTATTATTTATTTTTATGTATATATATATATATATATCACATCATTTTTCATTTTTTTACAATGTTTGCTTTCTTTTCCCTGGTGTAGTCCCCATAGTCAAGCTTCATTTAAAAATAGGAAACAAAATGCACACACAATAAAATAAATAAAAGTAAAAAACAAAGACCCATGCCACTTACTTGCAACTGAGTAGAATTTGAAGAGGGTGCAAGAGTAGGCTGGTTCTATGATTGTGTGCCAATGTCAGTGTGTATATAAAAGGGGAGGTTAAAGAAATAGCTAGTAAAACAGAATCAATGGAGAGTGGATTCTGCATGCCCATAAACTAGCTGATATTAGTCCAGGGCGTAGCCTATAAATATGTAACTGACAATAACAATGTCAGTTGCCAAGTATATTTCAAAATAAAAATGCTCAAGAATGAGTATGAGGACAGTTTGGTTTGACATATCCACAAAACCTACCCTATGTCCCCTAGCCCTGTTCTCAGCTGTCAGGCAAGGATTTACTCTGTGCTTTCATACCTGTCTCACTTAGAAGTTCTGAGATGATCAGTGAAACAAACTGCTAATCATGCACCGGGACAGCCCCGCCCCAGTAACCAAAGAAGCATGCAAGGGAATTCAATTACCAAGTTGTTTCTTTTAATTAACTTTTTAATTTTCTCCCCTCGAATCCCTTCTTCTTTTTTCCCCTCCCAGCATGCTATCCTAAAATGAACTTGTAACACAGCAGTATACCATAAAATGCTCTTGAAAAGCTGGGCAGAGAAGCTGTGAAGTTTGTCTTTCTAATCCAAAAGGAAACCTGCTCTGTAAGTACTGCTAATTCTCTTCCCACAAAAATTCAGATTCTTTGAGTAATATGGGCACCACTACCCACTAAGACAAATAAGACAGGGTTCTAGGGGGGAAAAAAGAGGGGAAACAGAGCAAAATAAGTAAAATAAGTTAGGAAGTAGAATTAGAGCAGAGGAAACTAAAATTTAGATATTTCCATCTATGTGCTTGATACTATGCTGGGTTGCCTACATATTAATGACTGGTGAACTTATAATAGTCTCATGTACTACTGGCCTCAATCCCATTCATGTGTCTGCATGAAGAAACTGAGTCTTAGGTGAGGTGATTCCATTGGCTGGAAGTCACAACTTACTTAAATGGCAAATCCAGGATTTGAAGTGACGTCTGTATATGTCCTTTCCAAATGTACCATACAATGTATTGCTTTAAAATGCCATTTTCTAAGCAATTTTTAGTAGTCTGTCTACCAGGGAGAGAACCGAATTCTTGAGAACTCTTTGGATTTTGAAGTTAGTACATAGAGCAATCTTATGAAAAATTTGTCAGTTCATTCAGTTAGTACATTTACTACTGGGGTGATTGAGTTCTCAGTAGAACAAAGTGAAGTTTGGCAAAACAGCTCCTCCCCTCTCACTCTGTGGTTCATCTTCCTTATCCACTCACATGCTAGTTTCTTTCATTGAAAAAGAAATCCTATGCCAGGCACTTTTCCAGACGCAGGTTAGACAGTAAAGAAAAATATATTCCCAGTTCCCACCCTTAGGTAACTTGCAGTTGAGTTGGGGGATGGATATGAACAACTAATAACATAAATAAATCCATAACTACAAAATCATGCTTTCCTTAAAAGAAAATAAGAACTGGGGCCTCCCTGGTGGCACAAGACACAACCTATGAAGCTATCCACAGCCACTGTGGATGAGTTCAATCCCTGCCCACAGAACAACCCACATGGCACAGCAGACCTCTCCTGACTCACCTGCTGCTCCCCTCAGCAGTGTATTTCAGTCAATCTGCCTGTTCTGTTCCCCACTCTGTCTCTGGTGAATTCTCTCACCCCCCGCACCTCTGGCCTATACCCCAGTTCTTGTATGCATAAATACATCTTTTAAAATATATTTAAAAAAAACTAAGAACTTGCATACAATAATAGAACTATTAATTATTCTTTATTGAAAGTTTTAAGGAAGCATAGGCACAAAATGATCTGCATGTCTTAAAAAAATTATTCATAACACTTGAGCTGATTTCTGTTGAAGATTGATTTGGAGGTGGGGAAGATGGCAGAAGAGATAGAATCAGGGAGATGAGTTAGGAACTACTATAACAATCCAGAAAAATGGTAGCTGGAAGTAAATGGGTGGAATCAAAGAGATGATATGAATTACATTTTGGAAGCAGAATTAACAAGACTTGGTGATAGATAGGGTTGGGAGGAAAGGAGCTATAGAAGACAAGGATTACTATAGAGTTTTTCAGCATAAGCTAGTAGGTGGGTGGAGGTGTGATTTATTAAAATGGAGAGAGTAGAGAAGGAGGATCCAACAAGGGAGAAAGAAAATTAAAAAATCAGTGTGAGACATGTTGAGTCAGAAATGCCTGGGCGACATCTAAGTAAAAATGTCAAGTGGCAGTTGGATATATGAGGCTGGTGTTCAGAACAGAGGATAGGATTAGGAAGATAAATTAAGAGGCCAATGGCATAAAGATGTTATTGACAGAAATGGAAATACACAAAAATGCCTAGTGTAGGTAGAGACAAAGATCCTGGATTTAGAGCATGAACAACTTAAGCATTTAAGTGTTAGGTAGGAAAATGAGATTGCAAAGAAGGCTAAAGGAGGATCAGAGAGGAAAAAGGAAATAAAAAGGGAATGTCTCAAAGCTAGATAAGAAAATATACCAAGAAACAGAGAGAGATCAGCTGTGTCAAATGCTACTGAGTGTGAGCAAGACGAGAGCTTGAAAAGACACAGTGTGGTTAGGAACGTGGATGTCACTGTCATGCTTTTCCTTAGGCAGCTACTTGGGACTGAAGCCTGCCTGTAGGTGAAGTGTAAGAAAGGCATAGACAGAGTGCTTCTGGACCTCTGTCATTATCTTGGCTGGGATAAAGAATTAAGAGACAGATAGCAAGAGGGGGATATGAAGTCAAGTGAATTAGTTTTGCTCCTTTGTTTTAACATAGGAGATTCAATGGTTTTCAACCTTAGCTCCATGCTGGAATCACTTTGGGAGCTAACAAAAATACCAATACCCAGGACTCACCCCCAGGGAAATTAAATCAATATCTTTGGGAATGTGGCCCACATGTTTACACAAATACGTGTGTGTGTGTGTGTGTGTGTGTCTATTCCCCAGAAGATTTCAGTGTGAAGCCAGGAAAGATAACTATTGGGTATTCATTCAAAATAGTCAACAATTATTTTGTTTTTTTTTATTGTATATACTATGGGGTTGTTCTTTGTATTTTTGAACATTTATAGCAAAGGTCAAGAAGAAGGCAAGAGATAAAGCTACAGGAGTGCAAGGGAATAACTTATTGAATAATATTCTGGAAAAAAATGGATAAATAAGGGGGATATAAAACATGTTTGAAGTGTTGCCCTTTATCAAGAGGAACACTACCTTTAGCTCATTTTAACTGGAAGGAAGGCATAAAAGACCACTCTTGATTACCAGGTGTAATTTCTTTTCATTTCCCCAGTTACTGAGCCTGTACCTAATCCTTTGCCTGTGTTTAATAAATATTTGTCCAAGTTAATTGAAAGCACGTATAAAAGATGCTAATTTACTTCATGGACTGCAATGGGGATTTACTGATAAAAAGGCCTATTAATACATTTTTCACTCTAAAGAACAATATAAATGCCAGGCAGTCATCATTCTGGCCCCAGATGTCCCGTCTCTCCGGCTCTACTCCAGTGTGGCATTGCTCCGGCTTCCTCCACCCCCACACACTACACAGGATATTACCAAATCATGAGTCTGATCTTCAGGGCTCAGCTCCAATCCAAACAAAGGAAACTTCTGTGAGGGCCTGAGATATCAGAGCTTTCTCTGAATGGGAGAGGCCACGGATGAACTTTCCAGAAGAGTGGACTTCTAAAGAACCATCTTGCTCTTTAAAAGCATGATACAAAAAAATCTCCATAACTGAAGACCCCCAGCCCCACAGGACAGTTAGGATCCCATAAAACAAAGCTGTAAATAA